CAGATCGCAGCCCCCCAGGGATGGAGAGGTCTAATTTGAGTCTGCGGTGACTACCCACTGTGCTCGGCCCCTCAGAAGGCCTTGAAAGTGGCGACAGTTTCACAAATCGCAGCCCCCCAGGGATGGCGAGGTCCAATGTGAATCCGCCGTGTGTACCCACTGTGCTGGGCCCCCCCAGCAGGCGAGTTGCAATTTCAATCCACCGTGTGTACCCACTGTGCTGGGCCCCCCAGCAAGCCTCGAAAGTGGCGACAGTTTCACAGATCGCAGCCCCCCAGGGATGGCGAGGTGCAATTTCAATCCGCCGTGTGTACCCACTGTGCTGGGCCCCCCAGCAGGCCTCGAAAGTGGCGACAGTTTCACAGATCGCAACCCCCCAGGGATGGCGAGGTGCAATTTCAATCCGCCGTGTGTACCCACTGTGCTGGGCCCCCCAGCAGGCCTCGAAAGTGGCGACAGTTTCAAAGATCGCAGCCCCCCAGCTGGCACGCAGCGACGAGCGAGGCAAAAGGCAAGGGGGAAGAGCGGGGCGGGAAGGAAGAAAGGAGACGCGCGAGCAGTGCTCTATTCAAAACGAGAACCCAACGCAGGAGGGTTGGGAAAAAAGGGGGGCATCGGAAAAAGGGGGGGCGCCATTTTGAAAAGGGGAAGGGGTCCTAAAGACCAATGTCCTATGATGAATTAAGACTCCCAGGGCAAACCTAGTTGGAGAACAGCAACAACAAAAACAAACCAGCGACGCCCCCTGTCGCTGGCATATACGGAGCAATAAAACTCGATTACCCCGTGTATATAGTCAGCGCCGAATACCCCTTATCCACGGATGAATACGCCGCTATTACTCCGTATATCCCTCAACACGTAGTGATAAACCACTATTCCTCCGTGTATGCGTATACACCGGATAATAAGCCGCTAATACCCCGCGTATCCGTACACACGGAGTAATATGCCGCTATTACCCCATGTATCCGTATACGCGGAGCAATATGCCGATAAGATTCTGCGTATCCGGATGCACGAAATAATAAGCCGCTCTTACTCCGTGCATCCGTATACACGGAGCGAGAAGCAACTATTATTCCATGTTTCCGAATTCACCGAATAAAACCGGCCGATTACTCCGTGTATCCGTACGTATGGAATAATACGCCGCTATTGCTCCGTGTATCCGACACACGGAATATTAAGCGGCTAGTGTTCTTTATGCACGGACTAAGAGGCCACTTGTACTCTTTCTGTGTATCCGATGCACGGAATAGTAGGCGCCTCTTACTCCGTATACACTGATTAATGAACCGCTATTACTCCGTGTACCCGTACACACGGATTAATAGGCCGCTATTACTCCGCGTACCCGGACACAGGGAATAGTAGGCGCATATTACTCTTTCTACAAGGACTAGCTATTACTCCGTATATCCGATACACGGAATAGAAAGCGCCTAGTACTCCGCATACACTGATCTGTAGGCCGCTATTACTCCGTGTATCCGACGCACGGAACATTAAGCGCTTATTTTTCCACGGAGTGTTAGGCCGCTATTAATCAGCCTATTCGGTACACGGCATACTAAGCGCCTCCTTTTCCGTATACGCTCAATAATAAGCCGCTATTATTCCGTGTACCCAACACACTCTTTATGAACGGAGCAATAGGCAGCGAATACTCCATGTACCCAATAGACGGAATATCTGGCGCCGATTCATCCGTATACACGGATTTATCAGCAACTTTCACTCCGTGTATCCCTGCACACGGAATAGCAGGCGCCTATTACTCCTTATACAAAGAGTAATGGGCCACTAATACTTTGTGTATACGATACACGTACAGTTGGGCGTTTATTACCCCGTATACACGAAATAATAACCGATATAACTCCGTGTATCCAATACAAGAGAATAGCAGGCGAATATTACCCCGTGTACACGGAATAGTAAGCCCGTAATACTCCGTGTATCCGATACGCGGAATAGTAAGCCTTTATTACTCCGTATACACGGAGTAATAAGCCGCTATTACTCCGTGTATCCGATACACAGAAAATCAGGCGCCGATGACTCCGTATACATGGAAGAATAAGCCTCTATTACTCCGTGTATCCGATACACGGAACATGAGGCGCTTATTACTCACATACACGAACTAATAAGCCACCAGGACTCCGTGTATCCCGCACACGGGAAAATATGCGCCGATGACTCCGTGTATCCGACACACGGAATACCTCGCGCTTATCATTCCGTATACACGGACAAATTGCGGCCTATTACTTCGAGTATCCGACACACTGAATATTAGGCGGTTGATAGTTCGCATACACAAATTAACAGGCCGCTATTACTCCGTCTATCCGCTACTCGGATTAGTATGCGTCTACTACTCCGTATCACACGGAATGATAAGCACATAGTACGAGGTATACACGGAAAAATAGGCCGCTATTAATCCATGTGTCCGATACACGGAATGCGCAGCGCATATTACCCCGTGTATCCGCATACACGGAATGTGCAGCGCCTATTACTCCGCGTACACGGATAGATAAGCTCGTATTACTCCCGGTATCCAATACACGACTGACAAGCGCCTGCTACTCCGTACACGACTAGTAATAAGCCTCTATTGCTCCGTGTATCCGATACACGGAATATCAGGCGCCGATGACTCCGTCTGCACGGAGTAGTAAGCGTCGATTACTACATGTATCCGATACACGGAGTAAAAAGCGCCGTACGCGCCTGTTACTCCGAATATACGGCATAATAAGCAAATGATATTCCGTGCACCCGACACAGTGAATATTAGGCGCTAGCTACCCCGTAAACACAGAATAGCAAACCACTCTTACTGCGTGGACCCGATACACGGGATAATACGCGCAAAACAACCCGTATACACGGAGTATTAGGCCCCTAATACTCCGTGTACCCGATACACGGAATGATAGGCACCTATTAGAGTATAAATCAAGCGAATAAGCTTCAAAATACTCCGCGTATCCGATACATTAAATGATAGACGCGTATTACTCTGTATACACGGAATAACACGCCCCTTACTACGCCGTGTATCCGACACACGGAACATGAAGCACTTTTTGCTCCGTATATAAAGACTAACCAGCGCCTACTACTCCGTGAATTCGGTACACGGATAGCAGGCGCACATTACTCCCTATAAACACAGCAGTAGGACGTAACTACTCCGTGTATCCAACACATGGTATACTAGGCGCTTGGTACTCCGCATACACTGGGTAATAGACCCCAACTACTCGGTGTATCCGACACACGGAATAGCAAGCGCCGATGACTTCGCGTAAACGGAGAAATAAGCGAATACTAATCCGTGCATCCGACATACGGACTATTAGGTGCTGATTACTCTGTATACACGGAAGAACGGGCCGCGAATACTCCGTGTACCCGAGTCACGGAATAGTAAGCACCTGTTGCTCCGTATACACGGAATGAGTGGCCTCCATTACTCCGTGTATCCGATACACGGACTCGTAACCGCTTAGTAATCCGTATACACGGAGGAACTGGCCGCTATTACGCAGTATACAAGGGAAAATAAGCCAATATTATCCCGTGTATCCGAAACACGGGATACCATGCGCTAGACACTCCGTATACACAGAATAATAAGCCGCCATTACCCGGTGTATCGGATACACGAAACACCACGCACCGATTACTCCATACACACAAAAGACAAAGCCCTAGTCTTCCGTCTATCCAATACACAGAATATTGTCGAAGACTCTTCCGTACATACGGAGATCATACAATAGGTCGCTGTTACTCCGCTTATCCGATACACGGAAAATGGAGCGCCGATTACTCCGCATACACGGAGTAATAGGCTCCTATTATTCCGTGCATCCGACACACCGAATATTAGGCGCTTATTACTCCGCATACACGGAATATAAATTAACGAGAAAATATTCTTTAAACACCACCAACAACAACAAAACATAGAAAAAAACATTTAAACAACAAACAAAAAAAAACAAACAAAAAAAAAAAAAAAAAAAAAAAAAAAAAAAAAAAAAAAAAAAAAAAAAAAAAAACGTACTACCCCGTGTATCCGACACACGGAATATTAGTCGCATATTACTCCGCATACACGGAGTAGCAGGCCGCTCTTAGTCCGTGTATCCGATACACGGAATAATAGGCGCCTACTACTTCGTGTAAGCCCCGATCGCGGCAACACGCTTTGCATTGCGAGCGGAAAGCGTGTCGCCCCGCTCTGCGGGGCGGGAGGCTCGGTAAAGCTCGGGACATTGGCGCCTAGGGGTCGGGAACTCGATAGCGTGTCGAGCCGCAGCGCAGTGGGCCAGAACCGGCGGAGCGACACGCTATCCAAAAAATCCCGACCGCAAGACGGCTGCAACCGCAGTGATCGGAAGCTCCGTGCCGAAATCCGCATCCTCGGAACGACCTTTCACTTCTCGCGAAGCCCATCAAGAATCGGACCCAGGCTTTTACGTGAGCGACGAGGAAAAAACGGGCCTTACGCGAGATGGCATAGCGACCTTTACGAGGTGGCTAACGCGGGCCACCATCGCGGCACACCACATTGAAGACGAGGGCGCTTGCGCGCTACGCGGGCAGCTTAACGCGCCAATTCCAGCGCAGTCGACTCCTTTTTTGCGTCGCCCACGTGCGTGGTCTAAAACCCAGACGGCAGCGCACGAGTAGCTCGCGGGAAGCGCGCCGCGCGGGGGGCGCGCGGGGTGGAGTCAACGGGGCCCAAGCACCGCACCGCAGAGCCCATGCGCCGATGCATCGGCGACGTCGGGATGAAAGGATCGGCTTCCGGATCGGGCCGCATCGCTGAGGCGCTGCCCATGCGGCGCAGATGCGGCGGCAACTTCTACTCTGGCCGATAGTTGGAAGCATGGCTCCTCCTTCTCCGCCTCCTCCTCCTCCTCATCATCCTCATCCTCCTCCTCCTCGTCCTCCTCCTCCTCCTGCGAGTCCTGAGGCCACCGTAAGCTCAGCGCCTTCCAATCGATGAGTTCCTGGAATGGGAGCACGTACCGGTCAGACAGGATGAACCTGGGGAAAGGCGTTATGGGTTACCATGGCTGGTCAAGGCAATGTTCCAAGCGTCATCGTCATTATCGTTGTCGTCGCCCTCGTCATCATCGCCACCACCGTCAGCATCATGATCCTCATCCTCGCCGTCGTCGCTGATGACGTCGTCACCATCACTACTCGCCCACCCGAGCCACGGATCTGCGCAATACAAATCCTCGCGGCACCGCGCCAGTTGAATGTGCCCAGTAGTTGCGGGCGGGCAGGTGGGATGTTTGCTCGAACAATGATCGTGGAGACGCCAAGTTCTTCAAACATCAGCTGTATCCCCGAAGATTCCAACCCGGATACTGCACCCCGTTATGTCCCACTCTATAGATGGCAGTACTCATGTTGGACCGCGCACTCTCCTCGCACAGGTTCTCCTTTCACAAAAAGAACAAAATCGACCACCCTTTCCCCCATGGGGTCATCGCACCCGCTGGGACACTGCAACTTACTTATGATTTCTCCTCGGCGCTCATTTGCCATATGAACTCACACCATGCCAGGCACGCTGGGCATCACCCTCCAATGAACCCTGTCAAATAATACTGCGCGTGCACGCTCATTCGTTTGTCGCAAAGGACCATGCCCAAAAAAATCGTTGCACAAACTGTACTGGATACACACAGGCGCGCGCACATGTCAAAATCATACCAACACACACACACACACACACAAACACATACACCACCTCTGCAATCGCTCCAATATACAAATCAACAACCATTAGATGATGCTTCCCTAATGATGCATCTTCTCTGCCTGCGCGCATTTGCTGCAATTCAAAGTAAACCACATGGTGTTGGCGATCTCGCCTAGCACCCGCATTCTCATCTCACAACGCGGTGCGTCCGCGGCGTTGATCCAGCATGCGCCCGGTGCACGAGCGCGTAGCAAGTAACACCACGCGGGCCACGCGCGCGCGCCGCCACACGAGCGTATCTAAGTCATTTGGAAGCCACTGTTGTTGCAAGCAGGCCAAAGCTGAGTTCTTCAAAATCCAACGGACATCAAACACTTTCCAACAAAACTGTTGTCAGGCTTCTTGGACCTGCGCGCGCATCTCCTGACAATCACCCTCATCAGCGCCGCCACACCACGCCGTCGTATCGACACTGGCCACCATTGCCGCCATCATCTCTCAAGCACCCTCATCATCGACACGTGGGCATCATTATTGTCATCGGCGTTATCAGCATCGGCGCCGTCAGCGGCCGTGCCGTCGTCAGCATCATCATCGCCACCACCATAGCTACTATGATCGTTTACGCCGTTGTCGACGTCATCCTGATACCACGCCCGCCCGAGCTACTGAACCGTACAAAAGTGCCCGCACGCCAACGCGGCCTTTGAGACACGCTGGGAAACTGCCATCTGTAAGCACAATCGCGGCCGCATCGGCTGTGTCGAACCAGCTGGCCGCTCTGCGCGCGAGCGCGCGCCAGAGCGGCCGCAGAGATGTGCCAGTCAGGGCCGAGCAATCATTGCAGCCGCCGCCGAATGGGTTTCTGCAAAGTATGTCGCAACAGGGAAGATGGGATGATGGCGCGAGCAGTGGAGTTGGCAACCCATGAACTGGCCAATAATCCGCCACCATGCCGCTGGGCATGGAGTGGGCATGCCCTCGGGTCCTGGGCCAAATCCTCGAAGCCTCAACTCCTCCAAGCTCCGGACCCCCGATGACCAAATCTACTAGGGCTTGGCGCATCTCGTCGGGGGCTTGTCGCGTCTTCTCGCGTAAGTTTGTCGGGCCCAATAGGGCTCCGAAATGAGCCCTGAGGGCCCGGAGAGGCTCCGCAGACGTCCCAGGAGGGCCCCGAGTCGCCGAACGATCGGTCCAAGACGCACAAGGTGGCCAGAAGACGGCCCAAGCCTCCAAGACGCCGAAAGAAGCCTCCAAGAGGCCTCCTGAGAGAACATAAAAGTCAAAAGTCATTGATGCAGCTCAGGTGTTTGAAAAATGTTGGCGTTCTCGCCTTTTCGGCTTCCGGACGCTTCACGACGGCCCACGAGGCCCCCGAGATCGCCCCAAGACAACCCCAGAGGACGCCAAGATCGCTCCAAGGCGGCCCAAAAGGGCCAAGACGGCCAAAGAGGCGCCCAAGAGGCGCCCAAGATGGCCCAAGAAGACCCAAAGACGGTCCCAAAAGGGAGCCCAGATGGGGAACCCGAACGGACATTTCGAGCCCTCGGCCCGAGCGGCCCCCAGGAGGCCCCAACAGGCCCCCAAGAGGCCCCAACAGGCCCCCAAGAGGCCCAAAGAGGCCCCCAAGAGACCCCAAGAGGCCCCCAAAAGGCCCCCAAGAGGCTCCCAAGAGGCACCCAAACTGCTCCCAAGAGGCCCCACAGAGCGCTCCGAAGAGACCCGAAGAAGCATCCCTGAGAATTCTGACCCACAACCCAGCCACTGTGGCGGGGTGGGCCGAAGGCCATTAGATACTTATACTGTCTAGACGGTACCCCGTATGTTGCACCGATCCACGGTAATTTCGCAAAGCGGGGTGTAACAGGTACGGCTGTGTTTGTTACTGTGGTTGCGGTTGCAGGCGTGAATGGCATCAGCAGTTGCACTGAGTGTCCACAGTCACAACGATGACAAGAAGAGCACTCATGGGAGCAGCATTGGTCGTAGTAATCGTCGTCGTACACATAACGATACATCAGAATAGCAGTAGTACAAGTAACCGGTGGCAGCGGTGGTAGAAGCAGTGGTAGGAAGAGTGGTAGTGGGAATAGAAGAATAGTAATAGTGGTAGTAGCGGTAGCGTTAGTAGTAGTAGTAGTAGCAGCAGCAGTTGTAGTTGTAGTAGTTGTAGTAGTAGTAGTAGTAGTAGTAGCAGCAGCAGTAGTAGTAGTAGTAAAGCAGCGGTAGAAGCAGTAGCAGCAGCAGCAGCAGTAGTAGTAGTAGCAGTAGTAGTAGGAGGAGTAGTAGTAGAAGTAGTAGTAGTAGTAGTGGTAGTAGTAGTAATAATAAGAATGATAGTACTACTATGACTAGAAGTAGTAGTAGTAGTAGTAGTAGTAGTAGTAGTAGTAGTAGTAGTAATAGTAGTAGTAGTAGTAGTAGTAGTACTAGTACTAGTAGTAGTAGTAGTAGCAGTAGTAGTAGTAGTAGTAGCACTGGTATTTGCAGCAGTAGTAGCAGTAGTAGTAGTAGTAGCAGTAGTAGTAGTAATCGTCGTCGTGGTAGTAGTAGTAGTAGTAGTAGTAGTAGTAGTAGTGGTAGTAGTAGTAGTAGCAGTAGTAGTGGTAGTAGTAGTAGTGGCACACTAGTACTAGTAGTAGTAGTAGTAGTAGTAGTAGTAGTAGTAGTAGTAGTAGTAGTAGTAGTAGTAGTAGTAGTAGTAGTAGTAGTAGTGGTAGTAGTGGTAGTAGTAGTAGTTGTTGTTGTAGTAGTAGTAGTAGAAGTAGTAGTAGTAGTAGTGATAGTGATAGTAGTAGTAGCAGCAGTAGTAGTAGTAGCTACGACTACTACAGAAGTAGATGTATAAGTAGAAGTGTAAGTGCAAGTAGTAGCTGCTGTAGAGGGAGAAAAGGAAAGTATCAGTATAGATTCGTGTAGAGAACTAGACGTAGAAGTAGAAATATAATAATAACTATAAGTACAAGTGGTAATAGCAGTAGGAGCATGCATACAAGTGGTAGAAGTTGCAGAAATAGCAGTAGTTCGAGTAACGCAGTAGCGCGAGGGATCCGCACCATATTAGAGCAATGGAAGCAGCAGCTTTAGAACAGCTGAGACGCGCAGATAGGACGTTCCCACCAGCGAAAGACATCGATGAGGAAAAGAAGGAGGAGAAGCAGCAGCCCGTGAACGGGATGCAGCCCGCGAAGAAACTCTCGTAGAGGTGGTTGGTCCACGAGGAGGTCCCCTCAGGAATCAAGCAGAAATGCGAGGACCTGTGGCAGGCGCTGTTGTTGCGGCGCTTGCGCACAGGAAGAACGAGGGCAGACGAGCAGGACTACACAGAGAAAGGGTGGAGGAGGCGGACGAGGAGCAGGGAGAGTTGGAGAGAAGAAAGCTGGTGACGAGGAGCGGGTGTCAGACTGGCATGGTGCGCACTCTGGCCGTTCTGTAAGGGGCCCCATCGCAAGTTTACATCATAGTCCGATCGATCCTCCAGGCTGACACACGGAGTCGGAGACACCGACCTGGGCGATAACACGCAACAGATGGGGAGGGGCGACAGCGAAGCCCGAGCAGCCCAAGGACGTAGAATCCAGTGCGGGGATGAGAGCACATCCTATAGGAACTCCGAAAATGACGGGTCGCTCTGGCCCACGGGCCTCGCGCCAGTGGGTCGCGCCTTTCGTGCTGGTGGGTCGCCCTTCTTGGCCAAAAAGGGGACGTCGCCGTGAAGACCCTCGCCCGAGGCGCCGCAGATCTCACGGCCGGAATGAGCTGCCCTCGTGGCGGCCGCGGAGCACGGACGGGCCTGGCCGACACCGCCGCCCAAATGCGCGAGCTGGGGGTGTTCCGAAGCGGGACGCTCGCCTCTTCCGCCCAGGCGCCCAGGTCTCGACGACGGCACGGTGGAACAATGAACAGAACCACTCCACGCCGACCCCCTCCTCCTCCCACCTCCTCCTGCTCCTCCTCCTCCTCCTCCTCCTCCTCCTCCTCCTCCTCCTCCTCCTCCCTTCCTCCTCCTCCTCCTCCTCCTCCTCCTCCTCCTCCTCCTCCTCCTCCTCCTCCTCCTCCTCCTCCTTCCTCCTCCTCCTCCTCCCTCTTCCTCCTTCCGCTCCTCCTCCTCCTCCTC